GCCCTAAAATCGAAATGTTAATATCCCACAGAAAAAGCAAATTTTAATTTTAAGCTTACTGTGTTTTAATCATAATGCAAAGAAGATTGCGTGAATTGAACTGATCATAGAGCAGATTTCGAAGAGCACACTTTCGGCTGTAAAGCGAGACGTCTCTCACATTTGTAGCATGTTCTACTTAAATACTATAATACAAACAACAAGAGCAGAAACGCACTCATACTCCGGCAGCAGAGTTCCGCGATTTAGCCATAATCCTCGAATTTTTTTCATTTTGATCCTTATTCGAGTGACGCAAATAGCTGATACCGTGAGAATCATATCGTAGCTGCACTCCAACGTGACCAACATTCCACGCTAGTTTTGATCGGATAAGGTGTACCGTTCCCGAGATCGTTTTCTATCACAAGCAAGCAGAATTTCGATACAAAGTAGAGTCATAATTGTACAAATATAGTTGTTCTCAGAACAGAATATTCTTATATTTGTGAATATTTGTCTTGATGCCGTTCTGATTTCATTGTAGGTGGTGAACATTCAAAATTGCTTTTGCCATCAACAAAATGGCAACAATTTAATGAGTTATTAAAATTAACATTACAAGCAGATATAACGAATTATCGCTTTTGGAACAGAAATCAAAAATGTTTAGTTGAGATGAATAATACACTACTATCCACATCAAATTATCAGGCAGAACGTAAAGACGAAGATTCTACTGTCTATATTGATGCTATAAACTTTGAAGATGTAATCAAAGTTAATTTTGAATATGAATCAAATTTCTACTCTATCGATACATTGAAAACCATAAGGATTTGTGATTTATTAAAAAATTTAGAAATACAAACATTAACTGATAATTATGTACTCGTTTTAAATTCTCATGAAGAAAACAAAGAACCACTTCTCCAATTACAAGCAGACTTTCAACAACCTGTCGGCAGTCTTACATCAGATAAACAAGTGAATATTCGAATATCGACATTGATAACTGTTGAACGATACGGAGAAAATAATCCAATGCTAATACCAATATCAAGTAGAAATGTAACAACTAAACATATCCTACACTCAGTAATAAAAATAGATGGATATTTAGCTTCTTTAACGACAATGACAATATTAGATGACAATCAATTACTTTCATTTGTAAAGGAAACAAAATTTTATCTGTTAAAAGAGAGAGAAACATGTTTAGTTACGATTAATACACCAAAAATAGAACAATTAATTGTCATCAATGATGATAATGATCAAACAGACGGTGAAAAACGCTGTTCAATTTATTCAACAATTACACAGATTCGTACACTATTTGCAGTTCCAGCTGAACAATTTCTTGTTCATTCAAATGATTTTATTCCATCAAATGAACTTCAGTTGTCTTCATTGTTACCATCACCAGATGTACGAATAATAGCTTTTTCATTGACCTATGAGAATCTACCAATAACAATACGAATTAGAGATAAGAATCAATGTTTAGTTATGTTTAACTGTTCAAAATTTACAACTATCAAACGTCTATGTGAAATTGGTTGTCTATTATTCAAGCAAAATAGTGAATTCTATCAGTTACTGGTTGATGATTCGAATATTGATGAAACACTGACGGCAGAAGACATTTATGACAATTTTAATGAATTTATATTTCAACTATCGTGTACAGCAAATATTAACTGTTATATTGAATATGAAACGAGAACGATTGAACTTCCATGCAGTCTAAAAACCTTAACAAAAGATGTATTTCTATCCGCACTACAAAAGTTTGAAGTTGACGATGATAAACAAAATTATGGATTATATACAATTGACGATGATGTACAAATTGATTTGGACAATCCTATTGAAGATTATCTTGATATTTTAATTGAAAACAGTGATGCCGTTAATAAAACTTTTCGATTTAGAATTAAATAAAGTACATCACGAATGTACATTAAAATAACTTTTTCGCGCCATTCAGAAAATATTTGACATCCACAATTTTAGGATTATTGCTTATATTGTTTAGTTTTCGTATTCTAATAAGATTCGTGTGAGAACCTGTTCCTCATGAGCCGGTAAAAGATTAAAAGCCGATGTACTTGATGTTCCAAAAAGTATCTGTTCTTAACACATTCGCCACTATGTGGCCCACGCTATATTTTAACGAGAAACTGTATAGAAAAGCATTTTCTTTGCTTTTTCCTTAAACAGGAGGTTAAACATAAGGAGTCAACTGTGCTGCCAAAAAAAAAACATTTATCACATTTAGAACAGAAAGTTTTTACTTTCTTTGCTGCCGCATAGTTTGCTTCTCTTGACTGTTGGGTCCTACCCTTCACATAGCAGCCATTGCATCGTCTGCCGTCATTGCGCGTAGATCCTTCTTTTTCTTCGAGCTTGTGATCAGCGAGTTTGCGCTTCTAATGACTTGCTGATTGTTGTCTTGGGCCAGGTTTTAGCTTCTCGAATGGTGTACCAAGCAGGAAAGACCGGGCAAGACTTTCGCGAAACTGCAGAGCGGTCACTTTGCTTTCCGTGTAGTTTTCCTTGTATATGTCGTAGGGGAACTTGGAATCCAGGGCAATTTAAGATTCCCCTAGGGAACTTGGAATTCCAATCTCCGGAAACTGGAATCGTCTTTTTTTTCACTCTTTTCCACGGAAAATGTCATCTTCCAACTTCCCCTAGGGCAATCTCAATCTCCTCTATAGGACAATTCTAGATTGCCCTAGTCAAGAATAGAATAGGGATTACCCCAATTTCTCCTTAGGGGAACTGAAATGAGAATCTAACGGACGCGTCATATAGTAAGAACCGAAAGTTGTAGAATAATCAAACAGTTTCGTTCTATTCTTTGCTCAAAGTGACTTCGTGGAGTGACATGGAGTAGTAAATCATACAACGAGACTTCTGCCACAGACAAAACAATACCATTGAACTCATTCAACATTGGAACAGAATTGTCTTTTTTTCGGATGACATCAGATGGACAGGCTTTCGTTGCGCATTTGCCATTGCAATTACACGCCTCAACAAGTTGTATGCCGCCAGCAGAGACATATTCTTTGCAAGCTTTTTTTTAGAAGTAAACTGTTGACAGGAATGAATATTTCGAAGACTTTCCCCAAGAAAACTGAATCGTGGTGAATGTGCTACACTAGATAGTCATTGTCAAGAACATAATTCTTTTGCTGTTCTTTGCCTATGAAGCATCGAAAGAAAAAAGGAATAGAGTAGAACGCAAACAAAAATGTTGGAAAAAACCCAGAAAAAAAGAGTTTTCTCTTTTAATGAATCAAACGCAGAAAGTGTAAACAGGAGTTCCATTTTGACATTACATATTAACTATATAAGTCACTATACAAAAGAAATTAGTATTTTCTGTTATGGCCGTGGCAGCAGAAGTAATTACTTATATTACTAATGCATTTCCAAATGCTCCACATTTACTCGGACAGATAGTGTCAAAATATGCTCCTCAACTGACTTGGTGTGCCGCATTTGGTCTATCAGCTGTATGGGAATATGTATACGATCGCTTACATGAACAAAATCCGGAAACAATTCCTTTAACATCAGCAAGTGAAAAGGTTGCCGAAACATCCTCACCGTCTGGTCAAGGTCCTCACATACGTAACGGATACAGTGATGCTGACAAAAAAGCACTTGAACAGATCCTCGAAAATGCAACTAAATTGGAGCCGAAAGGACAGTTACACCAATATTGTAAAAAAGGGACCTATGACGATGCTAAACAAGACTTGGAAAAATTATCTGGCAATATGGAAGAGAAAGAACCTAAAGTTTGGTCAAAAAAGTTACCTAATGGAAAAACTGCAATTGTGCGTGAAAAAAGTACATATCAAGACGCGAAGGCCACATTGGAAATTCAAAAGCCAAATACGAAAGGTGCTTCGATAGCAATAATTAAAATTCGATATCTTTGATGAAAACTTTCTTAAGTTGAAGGACCGTACCGTTTAAAAGCGAAAATGACTTTCACCATAAAAATATAAAGTCGTACATTCATTGTCTCTTTGTCGTCTGTTCTTATATGTTTCATCATTTGTTGTTCTCGTGCCAATTCAGAGCTGTTTTTCGAACACACTTTCGTGTTTTAAAGGACAGACTTTTTTTATCTTGGATCAGTGTCAACACTTAATGACAAGAATCATCCTGTCTGATATTGAATAGTAGACAGAGTTAAACGAATGTCATTAGCCAATGTGATTTCAAGTGCTAAGTTTAGTGAATTTGTGACTAGTTGAATGGGAGTTCTTGACGAATCGAATCCGCATAACTTCTGCTACGAACAAGTTGTGTTTTTATGCGTGCCAGTCAGATGAAACTTAAAAACTAATAACTACCTGATGGAAAATCTGTTAGTTTTCATTTTAAGATTGTAATAGTTCTTGATCGCCATATGCTTTCAGTTATTAGATGAGATGGTGGGGCAGTTGGTAGTATCAGCGAGAGGAGGAAGTAGAGAACTGCCGTGAAGAGCATACTGTTAAAGTAAGACTAACTGTGTACGAGCTTTCGATCTATCCTAAGATCATCTTCAGGTACTTTGAGAGATTACATGGAGTGTGATGGTATGACGCAAACGGAAAAAACAAAAACGAAATATGGGAGAGAAGAGTTGTTGTTGTGCTCAAGAAGAATGAGTGACTGTCCTGTTGCCATTCAGAAAACGCGTAGTTGGTGTTTACACTTGATTGATCGTCTTTCCAAGGTGCTCTTGTGTAAGAAGACTTTCTTTGTCTTCGCCAGTCGCTCTCTCTGTCCAATGTCTCAACGTTGGTCAAGTCGATCTCATGCCGCTTGGTGTTGGTATACTGGGCGAGCTTGGAGTTGTTGTCCTCTCATCTGATAGCAGAGCGGTGTTCTTCTACTCGCTTCGGCGAGTCCACGTTCCGCACGATTTGTCATGCAGCATACCTGACGAAGGAGTTAAGTGCGATATCGAATTCAATCGTGCATGTCTTATGTTCAATCTCGAATCTCGTTATCTGCAGTTTCATGTCTGAAAGAAGTTTACTTCCTCCGAGCAGTGTCGACAATTCAAACGGCAATGCTTGCAGCACGAATACGACACGAGGTACAAGACCACGATTCGCCTTGAGAAAGACCTCTGCACCATCATACGGGGACTCGAAGAATGTCTCTCTACGGTCGACCTAAAAACTAGAACATCTCAATCATCAGACAAGATTTCCAAGCTGTGAAGGGTAAAGGATTACATAACATCTCGTCGTACGTACTTACCGATGCCGAAGAACGTCTGTTGTGCCGTGGATTTTTCACGTCAAAAACACAATTTTTTCCGAACAATACATACATATTCGGAAATAAACTCGTTCAAAATCGCTGACAGCTGAATGTGATATTTCTGAATATGGTGCAGGAGCTCATTAGAGATATCAGTTTTATATACTTGCTTTTTTTGGGCGTTAACAGTAGTGAATTCAGTAATTTGCTATGTTTTTTGGAAACAAAGACTATGTCGAGCCTTTTAATGGAATAAGAACTTATAACTTTTTTTGAGAATTTTCTCTCTCCTATATATAATCGTGTCATCGCTCACTTTTATACTTTTTTCCCTTTAGCAGTGTGTGTTGACTAGTCAATGTTTGTGAGTGTGTATTATTTTCATTTTTTATGCAATAAAGAAAACGAGAGAGAGTTGTAGCTGTGTGTCCCTGGATAACAGCTAACATTTCCCGGGTCACGGCACCAATGTTAGCTGTTGTCCGGGCACACACAGCTACAACTCTCTCTCGTTGTCTTTAGTGCATAAAAAAAGGAAATAATACACGCTCACAAACATTGATTAGTCAACACACACGACTAAAGGGAAAAAAGTATAAAAGTGAGCGATGACACGATTATATATAGGCGAGAGAGAGAATTCTCAAAAAAGAAAGAATAGAACACGACCGGACACATATACAAAAAGGGGTGGAGGAAAAGAACAAATGAAAGATATAGACAATAGTGGTAGTGGACGAAACAAAGAGGCCACTACGTAACACTGTTACATCAGTAACATGATTGTTACCCTTAGTTTAAGATTAATCCGAGCTCTCTAGCACTTCGTTTGACGAAGAAACCTGTTAAACAGCGATCACTGGAGAACTTTTAGAATCTTTCAGCGCTAGTGTTCGATGCATATATTGTGGCTTCTAGTAGAACTCAGAGTTGAAACCGGGCCGGCAGACCGGACGGTCGCGTGCCAGCCTGGTCCGGCGCCGGTCTGGTACGGCGTAAAAGTTCAGACCAGCCGGTCTGTTGGCGGTCTAGAAAGATTTTCAAAGCTGCCGGTACCGACCGACTTTTTGCCACTTTTAGAATTTTTAGCATTTTTCTCGTCTTCATACAAAAGAAACTTGATAAAACAACTAAGAGAAATAAGAAAAGCTAGTGAAGACCACTTTTTCCTTAGAGATATTCAGTTTTACTGATAAAAGATTGCAACTCTAGTGGAACTCTCATATTCTTCCCAGATAGGCCGCCTAAAGGTGAGAGACGTCTCATTTTGATTAGAGATGTTTGTTCTATAAGCTTTGTTTGGTCAATATTTTATTTTATAATAAAGTATGTTTCCGAATTCATGCTCCTATTTCAACTCCGTTGTGATACTTAAAATATATTCCCAAAATATGATCGTAGAGGACCGAAACTTGACGTCCCTGAAAAAGCATTTTAACAATCGTGTTTATAGAGATGCCTTCAACTTTCCGGTTCCTTGTTTTTGCTAGGAGGTGACTTATGGCTTGGACGGATTCTGATTGGGGGATCATCGTGTAGAGGTCTGTGATATCGAACGTGAATTGTCTTGTCTTGTCTGTAATTTCATATAGTTCTATTTTATCTAAGAATTTCAGAGAATTCTCAAGCGTATAATGTG